GTATACTATTGTAGTAGAGTGCAGTGCTCTATAGTGATATAGCAGCCTAATGTACAGTGCTATATACTATAGTAGTAGAGTGGAGTGCTCTGTAGTGATATAGTAACCTATGGTACAGTGCTGTACACTATTGTAGTAGAGTGCAGTGCTCTATAGTAATATAGCAGCCTATGGTACAGTGCTGTACACTATAGTAGTAGAGTGGAGTGCTCTGTAGTGATATAGTAACCTATGGTAAGTTACAGATATAGTATCCCATAGTTTACTATAGTAGTAGAGTGACACAAGTTACAGTAGAGTGCTTTATTCTGTAGTAACACATTGTAAGGTTTAAAACAGTACAGTGTAGTATACTTTAGTAGTAGAATGCTGTAAATAGTGACCTTGAACACAGTATATTGTACTACACGATGGTAGTACAGTGTAGTAACCTATTGTAAATCCTTTGCTCACAAATATAGCACAGTAGCTATGCATACATACAAATTCACAGAGCTTAGAAAAATGATTTTTTTATTCTTGAGAGGTTTTTCTTTAGAAAGTGATTAGAAATCATAAAATTGAAAACGAACCAATGACAAATATATTTTCACACTAGATTGGAGTTTGTTATTCAAACAGATTCCCACTTGGGTACTGTTCCTTCTCATCTTCAATAATGCAGTAATGAACCTGCTTCAGAATAGCTTTCTTACTGCTGTCATGTATCCATCTTGATTGATCCTTAGTATGAGGGAAGCTGGGATTGTAGTTCAACAGTCTGATAGATTACATAACATTTATTTTTGATCATTTTAAACTAAAATTGTCTTGCTGTACAAGCACAAAGCACACTACAGTGTAAATATGGATATTCTGTATACATGCATTTCCAGTTAATACACATATTAACTGGCAGAAGCACAGCTGTAAGTGAAGGCGATGGTAGAGAAGCAAGAGGAGTCAGGGTCAGCCCGAGCTCAAGAGAGCGGACAAAGTCTTGCCTTGTTCCTGCAGGTCAGCTGTGGGGCTTCTCTCCAGTGAGCTGCAGTGTCTTCTCTCCCGTCCAGATGCAGAATGACAGGTTCCTGAGGCTGTGCCCTTTTGTATCAGGTGTTACACAAAAGAGGAACGATGATATGGAATAATTTGGGATATCTTCCTTTAAATTAATGGAACATCTCTCTTCCTTGTTCATTCATGAGACCTGTGTATTTAAAGATACTAAGTGTCTCAGGGACATATAATGCAATGTACTGTATAGTGTACAATGCATCAGTTATTGAACTCTTATCTCTACATGGGTCGATTTGCATGGGAGGCAGGTGTTTTTATCTCCCACACTGTAAGACCTGCTCCATTACAGTTGTTTATTGTGCAAACAAGGCAAATTAAATTTCCAGGAACAGACCAGCATCTATGTTTTTATGGGCTCTGAATGTATGATGAATGCAGCCTTTCGTTAGAAAGTTGAACATTAAAATGTTATTTGTTATGTGTTTTGTTCACTTTTGTCAAATCATAATGACTCTCACTGTAAAATCCTTTGAGGGTTCTAACTGTGATGTTGTGATCAAGTTGCAAAGAGTTTGCTCATAAAGGCTTTGCAATGTGCCTCCAACAACGATCATCTTTCATTGCTCTCAGTATAGTTGGTGGGTCACAAAAGTTAATGAGGGTTTCTGTCTTCCCAGTGGATCTTACTGCACAGTAGACCTCAGACACAAGTGCTCACAAGGGCTCTAACTCATACTTTCCACATATACTCTGTGGTTCAGGTTTTGCTGTTTTATCTGAACTGGTGCACAATGGGTTATAGCATCAACACCTTGGAGGACTGGATATTTTGGAATTCGTTTTCCTCGGTCGTGATTAAAAAGGCTTAGAAACTGGCCTATTCAAGCACAGTCACGTTTAAAGCACAGTCACGCAAGTGTGCAAGATGCGCAAGTGTGCAAGGTGTGCAAGATGCTAGTTGATCGCTCTAAATCTAAAAGAGCTGTGGTTCCTAATACAGACCCCTGTAGTACTCCTCTGTGGGCAACCTTTAAGGATCACCAGTCTGCTGCAGGTAGTGTTGGTGGACCAGTAGGTTGTGCTCTTCCCTGTGAATTAACATTTCCAAACCTAGTGATGGGGGAGACTGTAGTCATTACACAGAGGTCCAGCCTAATTGGTCACTAAAGATCCCGTGGCACTCTTGAAAAGATTTAAGGTTATTAAAAAGGTACTGCAGTCCCAAGTTCTCAGAGCTGTTATTAAATCTTGGTAACAAAATAAATGATTTGATGGTATTGCAATATTTTACAAATTCCAAATTGAACACAAAATTGCGCACTTTGTATAGTCGCTGTGATGTCGAGAGTTCCCGAAAATTGTGACGTGAAGTGACCTTTCCTGCTCACTAGTCAGTGAAATGACTAGAATTTGGAATTCAAGGACTAAGAGTGCCAGAACCTACACAACCATTGTAAATCTGGCACAACTGTAATCCTAATACAGACCCCTGTGGTACTCCTCTGTGGGAGACCTGGCCCTGTTGCTGTCCTTTCAATGATGTTAGAATTGCCTGTTAGCACAGAATCTGCCATCACTCAAATCTCTATCCTGGCATTTAGGTACAACCAGATCATCGGTTTGATGTTTTGTTATTCCCTGGAGTTCTGTTCCTAACTCTTCTCCCTGTGGATCTCCCTAACCTGGCAGGTTCTCTTGGACTCTTGCTCTATTCCATTCCAGCGGTAACGATTTGGTCTTTCTCCGTGGATCAACGTCCTCAGTCAGATTGTAATCTGTTGTATCCAGCTGGAGGGGTTTCGCCATGGAATAGCATAGACAGGACAAGAAAGCTAAAGGTCTTCCTCCATGCATCCCAAGTTAGGTCAATTGACTAATGCCTCTGATTGTTTACCTTGGCTTGGAGAAAATCCTTGAAAAACCACTGACTGGTTCTGGATGTTAGGATTGCTGCTGAGGTCTTTGGAATGTGTTCTGCTTGCAAACCGAAAGCGCCGACTAGGTCTTGATTTAGTTTCCTCAGCTGCAAGGAGACACCGCTGTTGACTCAGGGTCCTTCATGCAAAATCTCACTGGATACCGATCCGTCGATTCTCAGTACAGGGTGTCGCGGGGGAGCCGGAGCCCACCCCAGCAAGCAACAGGCGCAATGCAGGGTTCACCTTGGACAGGGCCCACACAGAGACCAACACGGACCAACAGGGGAAGAATGTCGGAGAAAAGAAAGATGCACGGTGCAAATAAAGGCATCTTTTCCAGATGGTAGAAGGGCAAAGAGTTTATAGGAGGGGGTCATCTACTATACCGGAGGCCCTGTGTAGCAGCGTTTGTGACAGGTGACAGAAATGGAAGGGAGGGAGGCTCTGATGATCTTTCCAGCTGTTTTCACAATTCGTTGCAGGGTCTTGCGCTCTGAAGAGCTACAAATCCCAAACCAGACAGTGAACCAGCTGGTCAAGGGGCTCTCAATGGCGCTTCTACAGAGAGGATGGAGGAAGCTTTATTGCGAATAAATCACGTCCTATAATCCTCCGAGCCACACCAACACCATCTCTTGTGCCAGGGGATGCATACCATGTGCGACAGGGAAGGATGGGACTTAGAGGTGCTGTTCTTCCGACGGGTGGGCTACACGTACCGACCTCCTCCGGAAATGTAGCAAGCAACTGTTGAAAAAACATTAAAATAACAGAATTCGGGTGATGGTGAAAGAAGAGCTGTTTATTGGTGTGCACACGGGAGAGCAGCTTGCAAAAGCCAGTCTCTCTGATAGACGTTGCTTAGCGCTTTTTATACACAGTAACAGACAAACTTCCTACTTTTAACATAGATGACCTAATCCCTAAAATGAACCACCAGTTTTTTTTAGTCCAGCTGGGGTAGCGGAAAACCACTCCTTATTAAGACTTTCGTTATTGCTTACTTTTGCAAAACACGACATCCGACTCCCCTTTTTACTACATTCAAGACATGAGCTGTACTTTTCCACTGACCTATAGATGCCCCCTGGTACGTCTTCCTCTTTCCCAGGGTTAGAAGCAGTTAGGTAGCTAAAAGACAAGCAGTTTGTTAGCTTTCATAAAATGTATAACATTCCTTCACTGCTCTTCCCCTTGAGTCCGCCCCAGGTGTTGAAATCCACGTTACGAAAGTCCAGCAAACGCATTAAAATACCGAACACGCCGAGTTGGACCGCTGGAGGGGAAACTCTTTTTGTGCCGCCATCCTCGAAGGGAAATTGATAGCCTCCACCGTACCCCCGACCCACCGATTTATTTTAAGAGACCCATTTTGCCAGCTGGCACGGAACAAAAACAAGCAGGAGAGGAAGTAAGCACTGCAGCGCAGTGGTGAGCGTGCCGGCTCGTAGCACTGGGGCCCTGGCTTCAATTCCTCGCGGGCTGTGTGGAGTTTGCATGTTCTCCCCCGAATTTCAGCATAGCCTGCTGCAACCATGGCTGCTGGTGCTGCTGTCCATGCCATTGTGCGTCTGTGTTGGCCCACCAGGCAGATACATCTGTTCTGACCAGACTATCCTATTCTACTCCCCACATGTCCAGATGGCACCCAGGCTGCCATGGATCCAAGAGGGACATCGTGGATATAGCTATTGTTTAGGAGGAATTTACTGATCTACAGAGATCTGACATACAGAAGACATGATGGATGGATTATTACTCTTATTCATTTATTTCTTTTTTTAATTGCATAATGTTAGCATGCCCAAAGGGGTTGGCCAGTCAGTTGACCTTGGACCCCTAGAGGTTTTTTTTCCTCCTTACTCAGGAGATTTTGGTTCCACTCCTCCATTGCCTTCTGGTCTTTTCGGTTCTGTATTCACAAAATGTATGGTTACTGGCATTAAGCGCTTTGGGGCAACCTTGTTGTGATCAGCACTATATAAAAATACATTTCATAGAATTGAACTTACACGGGCTTCCTCTCACACTCCAAAAACACGCTCTTTAATTCGGAAAATGGGTTCGTTGGCTTTTGGGGAATATCAGCCCTGCGTGAGTGTGTGTGTGCACATCTATGTGTCCCCCTGAGGGGGAGCTGGCGTTCCAGCCAGGCTGAACCCTGCCTTGTGCCCAATGCTTGCTGGGATAGGCACCATGCAGCCTCCCCACAACCCTGTCCTGGACAAAACAGCTGGAAGAGGAGGAATAGCTTAAACCAGAGCAGATTTCATTTTCCTGCCTGGTTTTATATTCGCTCGTGCAGCGACTGCAACTCGGTCTGGAAGAGCGTGCTGTACTTCGCTCCTCAAACAGCACCGTCATCTCGCGTGGCAGCATACAACAAACAGGGCCGTGACGAACGAAACCGGAGCAGGAAAGTGTGCCTGGGGGAAAGGGGCTGCGTGAGGCTTCCTAGATACCAGCCGTCCCTCTTTCAGGAGATTTGCATGTGGGTGAAGCTGTGGGAGAGATCCGTAACCGCTGGAAAGAAGGCACTGTGTACCAAGGGGTTACTCACACAGAGCTCACGCCAGAATCTGGCAGGCTGCTGGTAAAATGCCAAACCACCAGCAGCATCAACTGAATTTCATTCCCCTCCCCTCGTCAGAGGCACCTTGACTTTCTCCAACCATGAATAGTCAGCAAAAGTGTACACACTGGAGACAGGGGTAGGATCTCTGCCCTGGGCCTATACAGCACTCTGACTGCTTGAGAAGCCTCTTGCACTTTGTTTTCATGGGGGGGGTTTGTGCACACCCCGATTATAAAAACAAGATCAAGCTGGCACAAAAGGCCTACTGCTAAAACATATACATTGTGTGCAGTATTGTGTATATGTAGTGCAAACTTCATTTAAAGAAGGCAGTTGGGGAAGTTGATGTGTCTTACCAATGGTAGAAAATGTGCAAAAGTGACTACAGTTCAGCACCATTTCCACATAGGAACCTGGGTGCTAGCTTAAGGGGGTTGTGGGGTTTATTTGTGCAGTACTTTATTTCTTTGATGAGAGCAGGGAAGTACAGTGAAAGTTAATTGAGCAGGTGGACTGGTGACACTGTGCTCATCCACTATGTCACAGCATGAAGCCCCTGCATTCAATTCCCAAATGAGGACAACTGGGTGGAGAGTAGTGGACTTGGAAGCAGGAGGTTGAGGGTTCAAATCCCTAGTGAGACAGCTAGCCATTTATATGCTCAAGGGAGAAGCTTAACCTGAAGTCTTCTCACCGAATAGCCAGTAGTATAAATGGGTACACAAGGTAAATATCCAGTGTCAGAGATTAGGCTACAAGCAGCTGGTTAGGAATTTTAACAAGTCAGGACCAGAATGGAGCAAAGCCTGAAGAGGGTTCACTAGCATTCCAAACACTGTACCCGCCATGCTGGGGGCAGACTGGGGTGAAGGTAAGCTCATCACCCCTGTCCGTGTGGTTCTCGTCAAGAGTGAGCTTCTGGAGCCACACGACTGAACACTACAGCTACACTGGCTCTTGGCCTCCCACTGGCAACTGGACCCATGATTACACTTCTTGCAAGAGCTGCCTTCTGAAAATTAAGCACTTTGACATGATTTCCAAAAGCCCTCTGGAAGATCATGGTGGTCACTGTGCCAATTCAAGGACTCCACTACTTCAGAAACTTCTCACCACGTCAACCAGGATGTTATCCTATTGACACTTTTCAAAGAACGCAGTACTGTTGTGCTATTTACATAGCACCCATCCCTTTAGGAGAGAAAACAACGGAGGAGACGAACAACATTGTTATAGAAACAAGGCATCTCAGGCTCAGCAGGAACACACCTTGCCTGTACAGCTCATCTTTGCAAGATGAGAAAAGATACCTGGAATGTGAGACGTCATCCCTTAAACCACAAGATCCAATTATGCTTTCGTTTTTTCCCCTTTTAGTGCAGCACAACCAGAAGCAGAGATCTTGCACCCTCTAGCATCCGCAAAAGGGAAGCTCTGTGGCTGTTCATTAAGAGACACGGACTGTACTTTCTGGAGCCCAGATCTGCTGCCACTCTATTCCACCAGCACAGACATCATGACCCCTTCCTTTACCCAATCAAGGGTTTAATTGGCCAACAGCTCAGGTGTGTGGGTGCCCTCTCTTGGATCAGGATTAGTAACTTATGATGCCCAGCTGAGCAGTGAAGGGTTGAGTAAAAAAAAAACCCTCAATCATGACAGTACTAAAACTTAAAAAGGCATTTCATATAGGACATCTTGCAGGAATTTGGTGTGCATATAACCTGTTGGAGAACAGGTGACATTTTAAATCAAGATAAACCCCCCCCCCCCAAAATTGTCAATTCACACCTGTACATGGGATGCAGTCCTTTGACCGCTCATGGACAATTCTGCAATACTGTACCCCTTGGGCCAGCAGGTATTGCCTGCTCCAGCTGGGTGTGCCACAGCCCTGGACATCTGTACAAACAAGAACCCCACACTGCAGGTCACGTACAGTTTAATGCGAGTAAAGGAGTATCCCAGCTTTTGTCTAAAGGGGCTAGATTCAGTGTGAGGAGGGTGGTGAAGACTTTACCCAACACTAGGTTTTGGGATCATTCATAACACTGATCCTTGACATGGGCACATCCAAACTAATACCCCTACTCGGGATTTACCTAGACTGCA